ATTAGAGGTCGATCAAATCTGAGAAAAACAAGATATGAATAACAAGTGATTATATAATTTTTAATTGAGTTTCTCCTTGAATCAGCTATTTTTGGATAGGAGAAAAGTCTATTCGCGAGCGCTTTCTTAGATCTGGGTATAAAAATGGCTCTTTTACTAATACTATAAATAGAAGGCTGTGATCATAAATTGATTTAAAATTCCACAAGTCGATTCGGTCTGTCGACCCTCAGCACCAGATAGATGCGACAAAGGAGTTAAAAGAAAAGATGAGGTGAGGGATGCCAAAATGTAATGAGTTTTTGAGCAAGTCTCCTGAAAATTTCATAGTAGTAAAATGACTTTAGAGCTTATATCATGTACAAAAATAAGTGGGAGCAATTCATCTGAGTTGGTGGGTGATGAGACAATGGCCAACATGTTCAATGCGATATTTGGGACTAGATTATAATCGTTACTAGTATTCTGGTGAGAACAAACTACGAATCTCTTTGATAAAACTTTTTGTAGGAAACAAAAGACCGAAGGAGAAAAAACTTAAGACATAATTTAAAGTGAAATTTATAGTATAATTCTATTATCAAAAAGCCCAAGAAAATATTTTAAGACCAATTTGGTATACTATACAATTTCTGAGAGAAGCAGTGAAACATTGACAGCCTAAATAATTCCAGAGTTTATGAAAACACACTGGAGGCGAGTGGGATTTTTAGTTGTTTGTGAGATTAAAACAAGATAAATGAGCTATGATAACTCTATTTCGTTTAACATGATGAAGGACTGGTAGTTAGATCCTTTCACAATGATATGAATAGACCTTATGTTTCCATTGAATTTAACACAGCTCCGTTTTTCCAAAAGGTATTCTCATGCAGGATGGACTGCAGTTTCGACCTCGCCTCGGTCTTATCAATACCCTAAGTGGGAGTCGAACCATGACAGTGAAGAGTAGAATCTCGAAACTGTAATCATTACAACAGATTGTCACAAGTGCGCTTGGGTCAGAGGGCAGATGTGAATTTCAAATCACCTTGTGTGGTGAGATTGCTGATGAAGCAATCTTACATTTGGTATAGTACTCGACGACATTACTTATAGTTCTTTATTGAATAGGTTATCGAGACTATATCTGATTTACTGGTATCCTGTAAAATCAACTCAAAAACCAATTATAAGTAATGTCGTCGATTGCTTTAGTCAATATGTAAGGTTGCTTCATCAACAATCCACCACAGAATGTGATATGGGAAAATGCTTGGCCTTGCTTGAAATTCACATCTGCTCTCTGACACAAGGGCATTCGTGGCAATGTGTCGAGATTACATGCTGTGCTCTCATGGTTCAACTCGCGAGGTGAGGTCGAAACTGCAGTTCGCTTTGGATGAAAATACCTTTTGGGAATACAAGACTACGTGAAATTAAATGGAAACATAAGGTCTACTCATATAATTGTGGGAAAATTCAACTACCAATCCCCTTGTCATCTTAAACGAAATGGTGTGAATACCCTTCATATACAAATGATTTACTGATAGTCTCGAAAACCTAATTATAAATTCAAAAATAATTAGATTTGCCGTACCTCATAATGGTTTTAAGAAGTTTGAAAACCTGTCCAAATTAATAGTTACAAAATAGGGCAAATGCATGTCCGGTACTTGCACAAGGTAATCTTACCATCATGCGAAAGTGGGCACCTGGCAACCCTTACCTGTCCTGGACATGAGACGCGGACCATTTTCTCGGAGTAATGCAACTCGAAGAACAAGGCTGCAAAGCAGCAAAATCCGGGTTTCCTGGGTGATAAGAGCAGGCTATGCGCGATTCAACCCCACCTCTTTCAGCTTTAGCTTCAGCGCAGCCAGCATTTGTTGTGGTAGAGCAGTCCAATTCCAGAGTGAAAGGCATCGAGAGGGGATAGATGGTCTGCAGAGGTGCCCCATCTGATCTGCCGAATTCTGGAATGCCTGGGCCCGTTTGCCAGGCTGCTGAATACGGCGGTGGTTCATTTTGTGGTTGGCAGAAGTCAGTGGGGTCAAGTCCAGTTGTAAGAGGCCTTCTGCTGCTGGTTGCATTGACAGGCCCTAAATAGCCATCGTTGGAATTCCACGGAAGGATGGTATTGGAGATGGGCATGCTACCTTCGTCCTGACCAATAATAGAAGGCATCCTTTCTGCCGAATGCTCTGGTTTACTGCCACTTTTTTCATTGTTGAGAATGGTATGACTGCTAGATTCACCCTTGGAGAGGCTTCTGTCAGGGCTAGGATGATCGAAAACCATAAGGTCTTTTTTCTTGCAAGACTCACCATCACCACATGCAACCTCAGAGCTGTCATTATAATGAGATGGTTGGGGTTTTAAAGAGTTAGAATCGAGGCCGCAGTGCTGAGCGGCCAACAAGTCAAAGCCGACCACCGCACCCAAGCTATGGCCAAGTATCGAAAATGTGCCCTGGGTTAAGCATATATGGAAATAAAGAAGGGAGGAATTATTTCGGTTTAGTGATTTGCCGAATATGATAATCAGGAAGATCTATCCATAAGGTCATACAATTATGATTACCTATGCAGTAGACTACTTAAATGGGAAATAGTAATCAGGTTTCAGTAAGATGTTCACTATTTGGAATCCTGAATCGACTTTTTAACCTTTAATATCTGTTGAAGTTGTTTGACCTTGTTTTCGCAACTCGGTCATGTTGGTAGGAAGACTTAGAGAAACGCACCTTGTCCGGAGTCCATTGTATGCATAATCATTTCCAGAGTAGGACCGTGGACGTGGTACATTCCCAAACATTTCGCTGGCATCGTCAGTGAGTCTCGCCATTCTTAGCACCACACAAGAATTCGTCAGAGACAAGACTAAACGTTTGCTAAACAGTTGTAGTATCTCGCCTTCTGCCCTGGCCTATTCACATTTCCTATATCCTACTATCACGCATTCACTGTCACAATGTTTTACTTGCTTAATTAAATGTGGTACAGTATGCCCCTTTTAGCGGCATTCATGAAAATCCTTCACACTCCACGCTATGGTTCTCATCCCCTTAATTTGACTAGGTTCAATGTTGAACCACAACGTTTGTGGTTTGGCACACAAAAGTCTAGGGCATGGGAAGTCATAGACTTGGTATTAAAGATAGAAACAGGATAGACGCGGCGGCGATGGGCTGACAGTAGGTTCTACCAGAGACGTGGTCCATGTGGCAAAGGCGTGACCATGACACTTACTCTGAGGCTTGAGCCTCGAATTAGTCACCAAGACGCAGGGGGGAGGGCGAATAACACCTCGAGTGGCACATATGGGGTTTCAGGGGTCGAGTGAAATATTTGAACCAGTGAAAAGGCAGACGGATCTTATGGGGCAAGAGAGAGACTGTGGTAAGACCTAGGGAAGAAGGACGGCGTAGCAATGTGGCAGACTCTGATCGAAATTCCCAGCACAAGGGTGAAGGTGGTG